TCACACTTATTGGGCTTTGAAACATATACTTGCTACAAACATTTAATTAATAATTTAAAAATAAGTTACTTTTTAACCGATAATAAATATTATTATATTTTAAAGGCTTAACGTAAAAATAGATGACTAAAGTATAAATAAAGTTAACTTTAGGTTATTAAAGAATTTTTTCTTTACATTTTTAGATATGTGGACTATAATGGCCGTTAAATTTGATCGTTAAGTGATAAATATCATACTTATAAAATTTTGTTTAAAAAAACACTACAATTGTTATTTAATAAAAAATATAATATTTTTTGAAATTCTAAAAAAAAACCAAAAATTCTGAAAAACTCTAATTTCAATCTCTTACTACTATAGGCCGCCACCAACACCGCCAATCAGTTGAAACTTTGATGACTTGTGACTGTTCGAATCCCCACCAACCGAACTCCCATGCTTCACGCGGTGATTATAGTGGAAAATCAACAATTGCATTTACTAAATAATTTTTACGGCGTGCGACAATTTTGAAGATTCAAGCGATGATTCCTCCCGTCGTACGTTGGACTCCAGTTAAATGGAGTGTCCAACGGTAAAGATCGATTATCAGGACAACATGGCCGATGGCTAACGCGGATAAAGAGATTTGAAATTAAGGTTTTTTAGAGTTTGGTTTTCTTTTTGAAACTTAAGGAAAATTGGCTATTTCTTAAAATAATAGTTTTTATTTTGAAATTAAATTTTTGAAGTGTGACACATGTCACTTAATGGACATATTTTTTAATCGTTACAGTCTAAGAACCTATAATTATAAAATTGAAACCGTTAAACACCTATTTTTAATAAAAAAAAATATACGCCAAAAAGTTAATTTTAAATATAATTTGAATACTTATTTTTATATTAAACCTATTTTAAATCAACTTTATATTTATTATAAATTTATCATTTAATATAAATATTAATTTTTATAATAAAAAAGAATATGAATATTAATTTTAAGTTTACAACCGTGTTACTATGTATATCAATCATTTTAAATACGTCAATTTTAAATACGAATATCGATGTGGATACTTATCTAATCACATAGAAAACGTATGAATTAATTATTTTAAATATATCATTTATAATTAAATAAAAAACTAAAAATGAAAGGAAAACTAGAAAAGCCTTTTAGATATAAATTTTAAAATAAATTTAATAATTTAAACGATTATATTTTTAATATTTTCTTCTAATTTGTTAAACGTAAGTAGATTTGTTTAAAGATCGAATTACTCTTTAAATTTACATTAATAATTATAATTTAAGTTTTTAGAATTAACTATAATCTCATACGGTTCTCCCAATTTTAATTTTTATATGCACTAAACAAATCGACACTGAATTTGCAATGTTATTCAGTAATAACTTCGGAATAAAATTAATTGTATAGACATTCAAATGTGAATCTACCACCAAAACATGCATGTAGAACATTCAGTCGAATATTATAAGGTGATCGATGCATGGTTTTAACAAATTTTTAAACTATATAATATATACAAAATAATGTTAATAAATTAGTTGTAATAAGTAATACAAATGAACGTGCATCACGGTGGCCGTAACAAAGTGTCCAAAAATATTACATTGACGCCAGCAATCCATCTGTCTAATCCAGCCACTCCGTTTAATCCTCTACGTGTAACTGTCTCACTCTCTCTCTACGCTTGCACCTTCAACCTTAACCACGTGTCCCCAATTCCAAACTACCCACAAGATCCCGTAAGGATGCAAATTAACCAGACTTCAACGTTTAAGATTATATTTATTTGTTTATTTTTTAATATATTCGCATATAGATTTTACTGATTTTACTGATTTTAAAATTGTTTATTTTATTCATTTATTTAACTTAATAAATGAATATAAATGAATATTACACAGATAATTTATCGAATGTTATGTTCATTTTCACCTTTAGATGAATATTACACAGATAATTTATCGAATGTTATGTTCATTTTCACCTTTAGATCCAACTAATCGATGAAGGATTCATTAAATTAGCTTTAACCCTTTTTAATGAATCAATTGCACTACACATCCCCAACTTGTTACTCTCATTTTGAATTAGTTTCTAAAATTTTAAACATCCCAATTTATTTCCTAAAGTGTGACTCTCGTACGTTAATCTTTAAACTTTTAATCATTTAAATTTTATTATTAAAATATTGATATATACTAATCACATCTCATATCAATTAAATCGTTAAAAAATTAATAACGGCCATGTTAACACTTATGTCTACTATGAATAATTGATGTGACATAAGCGATAATTAGTGTTGTGTTGCATCCCAAAATCATTATTTAAAATTAATTTGAAATGTTATTTGGTTTTTAATTTTATTCTATCAATCTGTTTATAGTTCTTTCCTACATTTTAAAGTTATAATTATTGTATTTAAATCAAATATTAATTATCATTTATATCAAATCATATTATATATTACATAATACATAAAGTGTTTACATGACTGAAAATATTTTTTTATAATAGTTTTATTAGCAGGTGACATGATTAACACATATTGATAGGTTATGATGAAATTAAAATGTTCAAAAATTTAGATATCAATTTAGAATGAGAATCGTAATTTGAGAACGAAATTGACATGTTCAAAATTTTAGAGACTAATTTAAAATAAAATTAAAATATTTAAAAATTTGAAGACTAATTTAGAATTAGGATCATAGTTTGAGAATATATAATATAATTAACTCAAAAAATTATAAATAATTTTTGAAGATGAATAGACAACCAATAATAAATATAATAATTCAAGTAGAAACAAACAAGGTTTGATCAACATAGAATATTAATAGGATACATAAACAAAAACAAAATTTTAAATTGGATATATTTTTAAAAACTTATTCAAAATAAATACGAAGAGAATTTACGTATAAAATGTACATGGTTTTGGCTGCGTAAATACCCATAGATATGTGCATGAAGTGCATTAAATAGTGGACCAACGGGTTTCGTACACTCACGTACCAATTTTAACAGCTTTGGCTAACATATATTTTAGCCAACATTACAGACAACATACATGCGAAATCTTAAAATTCCGGCTAACAACGTTGAACAAAAAACATTGAAAGTTTGTTGGGGATCATGGACAAATTACAACAATAAATTAACAAACAAAATTTGTATTATAACTACCATATATACATATATACGTAAAATATTTGTTTTGGTCAACTTTAAAGACATGGATTCATGTATGTCTGTATATGGCAATCCCATGCACAAGCAAGCCCTAGATTTGCGACAAGTATGTATGTATGTAAGCATAGATTAAATTATGGATCACTGCTTAAAAAATAGTAAATCAATGTGACGAACTCATGCATGCAGTTTCCCCGACCATGATCTAGCGGGTGAAATTTCAGCCACAATTTTCAATTTGTTTTACGCACTAGCAAATAATATGTTTGGAATCAACAATTAGATTATCTAATAGGCTAAAGCACTAAAACTTTTTACACAAGATTAAGAATTTGAATTATGATGTTATGAATGAAATAAATTAGGTTGAGAGAGTCGTTCTCATAATAGGTTTTTCTAGTATTTAATTTGGAATAATTGATCAACAGAATCAATATAGGTTGTTATATATATTTGGAAAATGAGGATCGATATCCATGAAGCAGAAATCTATTTTTTAAGGGAGAGGGACGCGTCATGGTGGTAAACGTTGCTTAATGCAATTTCGATATGAAGATGTTTCTAGAGGAGCAACAGGGAGACAAGAGAGTAATTAAGATAATTAAGCAGATTTAGTTAATTAAAATCAATAAAAGGGATGGATATAAAAGGAAAGGCAAGGAAACAAGCAACGGGATGCTGAACTTTGGCAAAAAGATTATGCACAAATATGTATATAATATAAAAGCATTTGACCCAATGGTGTCATGTTAGATAGGGGGTGGATGGAATTCTGCACCAGAATTGTCAATGTGTTTGAATTAATCCACTTTCCTTATCCCACTTCCAGTTCTGGCTTCAATACCAGCTTAAGTCTTTTAACCCTTTTTTAGAGGTAGCAGCCGTCCAGGTTAAGCAAGACCACACATTTTGAGAGGCAAACTGATCGAATTCGAACTCAAAAGGAAGGGGATAGTTGACTTTATAGGTGGAATTAGAGAGGACACCTGGTGCTGCCTTTTGGTATACGTGCCCCAAATCTAGTGGTTTGTGCTGAGAGAGGGTCCAGCTAGGAAAGTGTTGACATAATGAATTGTTTAAGCAAAAATCCATGTCAAAGTATATGGTTAGTCCCTGTAATATAGTTCTATTTTTTTTAAAATTTTGATATTTAGTTTACAATTCAAACAATGCAGGAATATTATAATTAAATTATAAGGATTCAAAATGTTCGAATTAAAAGATTGGAACTATACCTATAATCTACCCTAGATTAATATAAAAACGTATTAAAAATAACTAAATTAGAACATAAAGACTAAATTTACATCTTAATCATAATACAAGACTAATAAAAGAATTCGACCAAACACAGTTTAGGCTATAAAATATCAATCAATTATGTATTATTAAAATTGAAAAACATGATTAGATTATACTGATGAAATAGGGTTGGACGCTACAAAAAATATGCTTTGCGTGGGAAGTTTTGGTGGTAATTGAACCAAAATGCTGATGAAAGCTAACGTAGATAAACACTTGATTTAATTTCTACGTAGACATAATTAAGTTGAACTTAATTTCATGTGCATTTATACAACATAAATAGTATTATGTACGTATAAACATAAAATGCACAGAAAAGACACGTGTAAGGAGGCCGGCACCAAATTACATTGACTTCAATATTGGAAACCCTTCTTTTGCCAATTCCAAACAATTTATATATAGGAGAGGTTATCGTTCCTTTGGGATCCACCACTCAACACTTTTTGCCATTTTTCTCTTCTAGGATTCTATCCTACTGCCGCCACACACTTCTTCACGTAAAATTGCACCCATAATCTTCACATAACTATCAATCACTCCAAGCAAAATCAATGGGGAGAACACCTTGCTGCGACAAAACTGGCCTCAAGAAAGGTCCATGGACACCCGAGGAAGATCTCAAGCTTACTAACTATGTTCAGATTCATGGCCCTGGCAATTGGCGCTCCCTCCCTAAGAAAGCTGGTATACAATTTTCTCTTATATTCATATATATATATATATATGTATGTATGATTTGGTTCTGATGATGCTTTTGTTTGAACTGTTTAGGGCTGCAAAGATGTGGAAAGAGTTGTCGTCTGAGATGGACGAACTACCTTAGACCTGATATCAAGAGAGGAAGATTTTCGTTTGAAGAAGAAGAGACGATAATCCAACTACACAGTGTCTTGGGCAACACGTATGTTTTTTTCCCCTTGTTTAGTTCATTTAAAATTAGTCGATGTTAGGTTGTTGTGTAGTTTTTTAATTTCATATATGACGGACTTTACCGGTTTCCTTTAATCGTATATCAGATGGTCGGCTATTGCCGCTCGCTTGCCGGGAAGGACCGATAACGAGATCAAGAATTACTGGAACACTCATATAAGGAAAAGGCTTCTGAGAAATGGGATCGACCCGGTGACGCATGCGCCGCGACTCGATTTTCTCGACCTTTCCTCGATCCTGAACTCAACTGTGTGCGGCCAGTCGCTTGTCAATGTGTCAAACTTGTTAGGTGCACAAGCTCTCCTAAACCCTCAACTGGTACGGCTAGCCAACACTCTCTTGTCGTTGAAACAAGACAACCCGGAAATACTCTTACAACATCTCCAGCAAAACCAGCAGCTTTGTGATAAGTCTCAAGAAAACCTAGCTCCTCCCTTGTTACAACCAAACCAGCAGCTTCAAGTTCATCCCTCGGCCTGCTCGACATCGACTACTGTTCCTTGTACTTCGATGTTAAGCCAAATGGAGCCCATGCAAACATCTGGAGAAGGGTTTTTCAGCTGCTCAAATTCCCAAGAAACGTTTTTTTCAAAGCCAAATTATATTCAGTGTGGTCCGAATCCGACTGTTCCTCTCGTGTCAGAAAACACGAACTACCAATCACTGGATTCTTTGAGGTCTACGCTGATATCGAGTCCCACGCCTTTGAATTCGTAATCGACGTTCATCAACAGCAGCAGCAGCAGCGTGGATGAAGAGAGAGAAAGCTTCAGCAGTTTGCTCAAGTTTGAAATTCCTGATGGTTTGGATTTCAGTGAATTTATGTAAATAGAGGATTCAGAGTCTGGTTTTGTAATGTAGAAGAATATCATTGTTGAAACTATTTTTTTTTCTTAAAAAATATGATTTAAAAATCTCTCGATTTGGAAAAAAAAGTTTGGGATTTTCTTTACGATAGAAAAATATGGTTCGAGGAGTCGCCACCAATTTTTTATTAGGATGTGATTGGACACCCAAAAACCTTTTGTCATTTTAAATAAAAAATTAGTTTTAATTAAAACAACAAATTGAAATATGCGTTACCAGAAAATGAGTTCGGGAGTCGGTTACATGTGGGGAAGGATTAACACCCCCACAGCGCCCTAAATCGGTACTTAGTCGATTAATTAATGTTTTTGTAATGAAATTTACAAATTCGAATTTAATTTGACTTTTGATCACATAACACAAGAAATATGAATTTTACAATATTCAAAAGCTCCCAAATAGATTAAATTAAAATTATCGAGTCGTTTTAGAAAGATAAAGAATGTTCGATTATTTAAAAATATCGAGACCATATCTTATATGAGTTGTAACAATATTTTCTCGAAAAAATTTAAATAACAGAACATTTCATTTTCTTTCGTTCTCAAATTTTAAGGGGACGAATTAATTTTTTAGATTTCACTTCGGGGATACACTTTTAATTTAAAATCGTCAAAATTGCCCTCTAATGAGTTAAGACAAGCCACTCAAGACAATTTTAAATTAAAAGGGTATCATCCTTAGTCCGATTATATATTTATAAGTCGAGTTATGCACATGAGGATGTTGTACATAACAAATACAAGGAACGATGTCTATATACATTTGTGTCATATGGAAAACAATTATAATAAATGGCAAGGGACACTTGTACATTATAAGACACATACATTTGGCATGAAGTAATTATACATAGATATATTTACTTGCAGTGCATCACACGTAATTTGGAAAGCAAAGAACTTAAAAATGCACATGAATTACATGAGCATGTATTTACAAGACATATGAGCATGCCTCATCACAATTAAATAAAAATAGGTAAAATAATAATAACGACTAATTAAAAGAGGAAATTAGAGACACAGATGAATTTAGGCATCGAACATGGAAAGCATCAGAAAAAATAAAAATAACAATCGCATATCAAAGAGGAGTAAAATGGAATTTAACGAAATTACAAGCATTAGAATTAACGTAAACCCAAAACATGCGTAGGACTAGAATAAAAATCAGATAAAATCATATTCCAAATGTAAAACAACATGAAATTTGCAATATCCTAACACTGGACTAAAAGGAGAGCGTGTGAAATATGAAGATAAAATTGTAAATTCAAAAAACTGGATTTAAGGACTAAAATTAACTAAAATGGGAACTGACATGACCCATGAGGCAATAAACCCACTCGTATACAGATAGGCTACCCTGAACCCCGATAGAACGAAACTATTTCGCATGTTTTACTTAAGGCGTTACTCAAGCTAAAATGAGAACTCTACTTATCATTTCCTATCCAGCTACTCCCACGCAACTTTCTCTTCATTATTCCATTATCTCTTCTTTTTTTCTTTTCCTCATCTTAAAAAACAAATCTAAGAATCAATGACTACTCATCTTACCCCTTTTCCGAATGCCCTCAGTTGGTGATAGCAAAAGAGTAAACGTTCCTACAACACTCTTTAACTCTCGGAACCAAAACCCGCAAACCCAAACCTAAAACGACCCCCAACAGATCCCAAACTAAACATGAAAATGGAAAGGTTTTAAGGATATACCTTCGACAGACGATGGATTCTTGACTCCTGATGAGAAAAACTGGGAATATCCTCCACCCAAGGCAATGTTTTTCAGACTTTTTCCTTTTCTTTGTTTGATGAGCTTCTACAACTCTGGTGAAGAACTTTAAGGTGTATATTTGCTCTCTTTTTCGAAAACAATCAGGAAGAGATTTTTTTATTGCTTTGCGTTTTTTTTTTCAATAATGATGAGGGAAAGAGTCACTGTCTTGCTTTTATTGAAAAATAATGGAGAAGACCCCTTTTACACTATATTTCCTTTCAAATATGGAAGAGGAAGCCCCTCTTGTTACAATGTATTTTTCCTTTCTCCCATTTTCTTTGTTGCTCTCCCTCGTGAATAAATGAACTGTTTTTTTGTTTTCAAATAGTTTGCTCGTGCTCTCCGATTTTTCCTCTTCAAAACTTCTTTTCGAATCGTTCCCCCTCTCTACAAACCATTCCCTCTCTTTTTGGTTGTAGTTGATATGGGCCCTGGATAAATCGAGCATCTATAACTGTCTCTCTTTGCTCATTGTCGTGTAACGATAATAGAACAAAGATCAAAAGATGGTCAAATTTTTCCGGCCATGATAAATTCAAAAGATTAATCTACTCCACTATAATTTCAAAATAAGTGAGACTTGAAAAATCTTTGAATAACGGGTCCGCTCCCTACTCTTTCAGGGAGTATAGGACTTGAAATAATCTTCAAAAATGGGCCCGTTCCCTATTCTTTCAGGGAGTATAGGACTCAAACAATCTTCGAAAAATGAATCCACTCTCTATTCTTTTAGGGAGTATAGGACTTGAACAATCTTTGAAAAATGGGTCTGTTCCCTATTCTTTCAAGGAGTATAGGACTTGAACAATCTTCGAAAAAATGGGTCCACTCCCTATTCTTTCATGGAGTATAGAACTCGAACAATATTCAGAAAATGAATATTCTCCCTATTCTTTCAGGGAGTATAGGACTTGAACAATCTTCGTAAAATGGGTCCGCTCCCTATTCTTTCAGGGAGTATAGGACTTGAAAAATCTTCGGAAAATGAGTCCGCTCCCTATTCTTTCAGGGAGTATAGAACTTGAACAATCTTCGAAAAATGAGTCTGCTCCCTATTCTTTCAGGGAGTATAGAACTCGAACAATCTTCTGAAAATGGGTATGCTCCCTATTCTTTCAAGGAGTATAGGACTTGAACATTCTTCGAAAAACGGGTCCACTCCCTAATCTTTTAGGGAGTATAGAACTCGAACAATCTTCTGACAACGGGTCCGCTCCCTATTCTTTCAGGGAGTATAGAACTTGAACAATCTTCAGAAAATAGGTTCGCTCCCTCTTCTTTCAGGGGGGTGTAGAACTCGAACAATCTTCTGAAAATGGGTTCGCTCCCTATTCTTTCAGGGAGAATAGAACTAGAACAATCTTCTGAAAATGGGTTCACTCCCTATTCTTTCAAGGAGTATAGAAATCGAACAATATTCTGAAAATGGGTTCGCTCCCTATTCTTTCAGGGAGTATATAACTCGATCTTGATTTGCTTCACTACTCTTTCGTGAAGGCTTATAAATGATTTGTTTCACTACTCTTTTGTGAAGGCTTAAGATGGCCCTGAGGACTTATCATCTTACTCGAAAGCCAAACAAATGACCCAAATGATTTAATTATCATGCTCGGAAGGCTTACTGATGGCTTGCTTCACTACTCTTCCGTGAAGGGTTAATATTGATTTGCTTCTAATGTCGAACCTGAAAATCAAACATTACCAATCATTAGTGTATGCTTGAAAATTTGAAAATGTTATACTTGACAAATTTAGAATTTGAGAGAATCTTTTAAAATCAATTTCTCTTGTGGAAGCTTTTCTCACAGCCACTAGATATGAGAATCTGCCCTGACTCGAATGTCATTTGAACCTTTCCCTTTTTGGGACTTTGAATTGGTTAATGACTCCTCGTTTGATTTGCCATGTGTACATGTCCTTTTAATCAATTGATCCACTTCTTTGTACCCGAGAATCTTTGCTTCTACATCTAATGGTCCACACTTTAAAGTAATGATTCTTTTGTAGATTAGGACTCTCTGTTCTTCAGGTTCTACCTCTCTAAACATGATTCCTTATGTTTAAGGTTTGAATTATTCCTCTCAACTTGTCGGGCTTTTGACATCATGAATCTTCTCTTTTCACTTGAAGATCTGTTAAAACCATGTGTTTAAGTGAAAATACAATTAAATGCAATGCATTTTTTTTATGTAAATGATGTTCTTATGAATGCATGAATGTTGACTCAATCTTCATTTGACTTCAAAGTGGCGAACTCGGTCTTCTTCCACTTTGATCACTTTTTCTCATGGTTTACTCAGATATCAATATAGCAACTTATACTTTCCAACTTGCATTTTTGAAGAGATATTTAATCTTCTTCTATCTTCTTGTCGTCTTTGTTTTCTGTCTTCATTTCGAATGAAATGTTTTCTCTCTCGAATTCTTGCTATGGTCAGAAATATGACTTTACTTCCTCTTTCTATCCTTGACTCAATTACACTATCAGAGTTGGTTTTTCGGGACTCTGCTGTTGATTGATACTTGACTGAATTCATCTACAAGTTAAGCTCTACTCAATATTCAAGGTTTGCCCCTGACACTCCAAGTTGTAAGACTCATTCTCAATATCTTCTTGGTCTGAATCTTGTCATCTTAACATGATCTGGGTTTCTAGTCATGCCCCAATGTGGGTACTCATGGCTCCCTTCATGCCCAAAATATCTTAATCTTGAATGGTCTTAATCTGGTATAACTAAACAACAGTATTGTCAAATAGCTTGAGGGTTTCTCTTCATGTTGCCACAAACACTTAAGAAATGATCAACCCTTCTAACAGAATGTCTTGCATTTTGATATGATTTGGGATATATGTGCCCCTCTTCCAATAATGAGATCATTTTCTTATTGACGGGTTACTGAAAATGTCATAAGGAAATGTTACAAGCTCCATTCCTCAGTCCTTCTGATCTCTCAAACTATTTGCTTTCAATATTATGGAATACTTCATTATTCTGGTATCGTTTATTCTTTCTACAACAGAGGCAGAATGAGCCTCACCGGCTTCAAGGATCTTTCATATTTAAGACTGTCATGTTTGAAAATGTTTGTCCTTTTTCTCTTATTTTGGGGAAGAATGAAAGAATTTTATAAAACATTACCCTTAATTCAGGCTCACAATCGAATCGAATCATATACATGAGTTCAGAGAATATCAAAAGAATTAATAGCTCTTTTTAATGTTTTCAGAGTTATAGCTCTTTGACAAGCATCAAAATTGATGGGTTGGCTTCCTATTTTCTAAGGTTTCGGCCACCAAAATGTCATTTCTTTCTTGGTCATTGTGAACATTGCAACATAACCCTCTTTCTTGGCTTGGTATTTTAATCGGATGCGGACAAAATGATGCAACTAGCATAATTCATTACTAGACTTTCTAGAACACTTTTATTTTGGTTTTCTGAAAACTTCCATTTGTTCAAGCTTAGTAGACTCTTTTAACAAAGGCAGTGCAGAAATATCGATCTAAAAATGAAATTCCTGAGTGCTCATGTGAAATTGACTATAATATGTGTTCCTTAACTCCCTTAGTCCATCTTTGCCAAAACTCCTTATTTATAAAATTTTCCATGGTTTGGCTAGTTGAAATCAACTTTATTGTATCTATATATATTGTAATAACCTTTATCAGGCTGGCTGAAGGGTTCATCTCATCACGAAATCTTCGACCCGACAATTGTAGTAGAGCAAACACTGAATTACCAAGTACCCGAGCAACGTCATGGTTTGAATACAATCTATTCATAAAGCCAGGGCTTTTGAGTTTCTTCTATAACCAATTTCTTTAGTGGAATAGCTCAGCTTTATTGTATACATATACTATTATAATCTGGACATACGGATTCAACTTTTTGAGCTTGTCAAGAAGAACCTGTTATAGTCTAGGTGTTGTTGAAAGTCAAGAAAAACTCATCCTTAGAGTTCAATTTCCAAGCAACTGACCTAAACTAGATTCATCTACTCAACTATTCCATCTGTAAAGATCATAATCATCATTGAACGTCATCAACAAAAGTGTGGTCTAGTCAGTTTTGTAATGTCATACACAAAAGATGCCCCCATGTTTTCCGCTCCTATTCATACCTGAATATCAAACCTCTTGTTCATTCCCTTATAAGAGTAGAAGGCTATATTGGTCGTTGTAAAAAAATGGTATGGTTTCGATTGTATCTTCTGGGGGTAAGGTCCAGTGTCCTTGTTTTTCCAGTTTTCAATCTTGTCACTTTGTCAAAGAACTCTAACTCCGATCATTTACATAGCTTTTTAATTCAATTGATATTCAAAGAATTTCAAGGTGAAAATTTAATTCAATGATCACCATCTTTAAAGTAGCATAAGTTCATTTAAATATCCTTATAAAAAAAGCTGAGAAAAGACAAAAAACAAGTTCAAACAAGATGTTGCAAATGGAATAAAACATCATTATAATGCCCCATTATTCCTAGAATATTGAGTGTCTAATTGGATTAGGGTCTTCATTCGCATTCTCTCCCCATCTCTCGATCATTTCTCGTGTCAAGACTCCTTTATCGACGTGTTTTTCTATCTCTTCCATCAACGGTATGCACTTGTCAGTGGGATGTCTCAATTCCCCCATATGAAAATCACAAGCACTATTCGGGTCATAGCCATAAGCAAACGGGCTAGTCTTCACTCTCAAGGGCCTCAGGGTGAGGTACTGATTCTTGATTAAAAGAGATAACAAGTCAGAAATGGGTACTTGATAAACCTTGAGGGTCGTATTTTTCCAAGACATCTTTTGTGGCTAGTCTCGGATTACTTCTCCTTTAATTTTTCCCTCGTCACTTCCTATTTCCTTCTCCTTTTTCTGTATCAGAGAAGTCTCGAGAGTTGAATCATTTAATTATGTCTCACATATTTTTTGTCTTTGATTTCACCTTTCTCCATATGCACTTCATTTGTTTTACCCCTATCGATTCCACTAGGGGGTTGGCTCTCAACTGTTTGACTAAAACTGACTGGTTGTTAGCATTCATCTCTATACTTCCATGTGCCAAAAAGATCTTGGACTTGTCGTTTGAAGTTACCACAATTCTCGATAGAGTAACCTCGGGCTCCAGCGTGATATTCACAAGAAACTTTCTCATTATACCAACTCGAATAAGGGGGTAACAGAGGCTTAGCCAGACGTGGAGTAATCAGCTGAGCTTCGAGCAACTTGGGGTATAATTTTCTATATAAAAATGAAGGGAAATTGAGTTGAAGCTATTTTAACTTCATTTTCTCTTTGCCCTTATTATGACCCTCTTGATTACATAATAAATGATCATTGAAATATTCATTTTGAAGGTTTAACTTTTGACTAACATCTTGTGGGAAACATTGGCTTGTAGATTTTCCCTTATCAGTAAGTTATGAGCTTTTGAGGAGCTTAAGTTTTCCATCTTCAAATCATAATGACCCTTCCGTAATGAGGTTTTGAACCTTTAATCTGATAATCGCACAACTTACCGTAGAGTGGCTAAAATCTCCAGAATTATAGCCCATGAATTTTTGAGACATTGCCAATCTGGATGCAAATAAATATTAAGCCTTAGAGGAATTGGGGTTATGAGGCCACTTTCGAAGAGAAATGGTAACAAGTCTGAATATGACCCTTGTAGACACCCGTTTTAGACCGGGCTTAAATATATATATATATATATATATATATATTATAATTATTGCTATTTATTAATCTATTATTATTATTATTATTAATTTTATTTTATTTTTTTCTTCAGGCCCCATATTCAACCTCCACTACTTCCACTACATTAGCTTCAACTCCACACTCAACAAAACGTGGGACACTTGCTTCATAATCCTTGCTTCATAATCTGGGGAACCTCCAGCTCCTATAAATGGGGAAACGATACAACAACTAAAGTGGGGGCTTCCACTTTACCTGAAAACACAAAGCTGTCCAGCAACAAGACCGTAAGGAGGATTCGTGTTCATGGTGGAAACGTGAAGTGGCATGCACTGAGTCTTGACACAGGAAACTACTCATGGGGAAGTGAGGCCGTGACTCGGAATACCATGATTTTGGATGTGGTGTATAATGCATCTAATAATGAGTTTGTTCGTACTCAAACTTTGGTGAAGAGTGCCATTGTTCAGGTTGATGCTGCTCCATTCAAGCAGCGGTATCTCCAGCACTATGGTGTTGACATTGGTCACAAGAAGAAAGAAATTGCTGGAGGAACCAAAAAAGAGGGAGAGGAAGGTGAAACTGCTACAGAAGAGGTGAAGAAGAGCAACCATGTCTTGAGGAAGCTGGAGAAGCGTCAACAGAATCGCAAGCTTGACTCTTATATTGAGGACCAATTCAGTAGTGGTCGTTTATTGGCTTACATTTCTTCACAACCTGGCCAGTGTGGTCGTGTTGATGGGTATATCATGGAGGGCAAAGAGCTAGAATTCTACATGAAAAAGATCCAGAAAAACAAGGAAAAGAGATCAGTTATCCACGCCAACTCATTCGCAGATATAATTGTTGTCGAGGCTGCCCCCACTCAATCAAATTGATGTTAATCTTGTTTATAAAGGACTTTCGGAGTTCACCCAGAAGCTGAGCTCAATCACAGCTGATTTGGAGAAAGCTAAAACAAGGAGAAGGGAATGAGCTTACCCATTCGACCGAGGCATAATTGTGGCGATCGGAGGCTCCCTTCATCGATCCGAACGGTCAACCAGTAGAAGACAACAAGAAGAATTACGTACTCCGACCACAGCTCGATCCAACGGTTTGATCTCCCATAATTGAAGGTAAAATGACCAAGATTTTCGTTTGCTTTCCTCACATTTGAGTATGAAAGAATCGGCTGCTAAAGTAAATGGTAGGGTAAAAAAACCCTTTAAAATATGATATACACGTAAGACTCATTGGTTTCAAAACCCATACCCATTTGCTTCATATAACCACATGTATATAGTTTTTATTTTTGTTATTTTTATTATATTATTCTTATTTTTATTTTAGTATTTTAGTATTTTTATTATTATTTTTCCTTTTTTTACTAACTTTTATTTATCTTTGTTATATATTGCATTTATTTTATTATTATTATATTAATATTTTTTTCTTTTTTTATATTTATTTTTATTTTATAATCTGACAATATTTTTGACTTTAGGGATACTTTAATCGATCGAAGGTAAGTAATTTGAATCGAGTTTTTAAATTTAAATTTAAAATTTTTCCATAAAGACAACCGGAAAATTAATTGGTACCGAAAGGGCGGTTCAAGGGTGCTAATCCTTCCTTGATCGTAACCGACTCCCAAACCTGACACATTTCTGGTAAAATGCGGATCAAGTAAGATGGTGTCCAATCCACCTAAACATTTTAAAATGATCGTGTTGAAAATATTTTTATGTTTCGATATAACAAACTAAGTATAAATGAATTTTAAGATTTTACAAAGATTTTTATAAGTATATTCGATTCAATCGAATATCAAATTATTACTCCAAGTCTTTCAAGATCAATTTCAAACCTTACTAAATGTGTAAAATTGTGTTTTATACTTACTATATTTATGAAACAATTTTCACAAAGAATTTTGAACCGAAATCAAGCCTAAAATCAATTTTTCAAAGGGATGCACCAATCCATGCATCGATGCACCAATGAATAAATTGAACATCGAATGCAGTTTATGCATCGATGCACTCACCATGCATCGATGCACTCAGATTTTAATGAAAACATCGAATGCATTTTATGCATCGATGCACATACCATGCATCGATGCACTTAGGCTTATTCAAAACATCGAATTCATTTTATGCATCGATGCACACTTAGTGCACCGATGCACTAAGTGTTCCAACGGTCAAAATATTTGAATTTTACACTTGATGCACAGATGCACCTTGTGTATTCGATGCACTCACGCTCTCAACTGATTTTATTAATTGTTTTCATACTTAAACGGCTCTATTGACTCCACTAATCATCCCCAACATTCAGAATCAATTGAATGAGTATTTAAACAAGCTTAGAAGCCATTGATCAACAACAAGAAACTAGAATCAAGAGAGAATCAAAGAGAAAGCATAAAACTCATTGTTTGAGCACTTCAAGCCTATTTTTCATTCAATATTCATTTTTCTTTCAAGAACACTACTTGTACTCAATTGTATTCATTCTTGAGTTTTCTTTTCTTTGTTCTAGAATTGTGCAAACACATTTACCTTATGAGGTTTTTCATTAAGTTTGTAAATTTGTAATATTCTCTTTGAGAAAGAGTGTTCTAAAAAATTGGGGTATATTCTTGAGGGAGTTGTAAGGTTATCTCTTTGGCCTCATAAGAGAGAACAAATTAATGAATTTGTTGGAAAATCCTTAGTGTGGATAGCTAAGGTAGTGGACGTAGACTTTGGTTGAGAAAGTCGAACCACTCTAAATCGCTGTGCAATTACTTTCAATTTTCTACAAAAGCTTCCACTAAAATTTTAATTGCCAATTCACCCCCTCTTGACCATATTCGTCGATCGATTAACTCAATAATTGGTATCAGAGCCTCACTCATTTGAAGGTTTAATCACCTATTGATTCGATACAGGAAGAGTTACATCGATAATCAAGTCATCAATGGCCTCTACTTCAAACTTCAACTCTGGTCTTGATTCGATGCCCGTCAACAAGCCTCATTTCTTCAATGGAGCTAACTATGCCTATTGGAAGAATATGATGATGTATTTCATTCAAGCAAGTGATATGGGAGCATGGAGTGTTATAGAAGACAAATATATCAAGCCTCTCACTCATCCAAGATTGTGGAGTGAAGGAGAGACAAAAATGTTCCAACTCAACTCCAAAGCCATTCATATCATATTTTGTGCTCTTGGACCAGATGAATACGGAAGGGTTTCATCTTGTACAACCGCCAAAGAAATATGGAATAAACTATAAGTCACTCATGAAGGCACGGACGAGGTAAAAGAATCTAAAATTAGTCTTCTAACACATATGAAACCAAATGAAGATATCAAAGCTATGACGAATAGATTTTCAACGATTGTCAATGGTATCAAATCATATAGAGAGATCATTCCAAACGAAAAGCTTGTGAGGAAGTTAGTTTACTCACTTCCAAAATCATGGTAATCAAAGAAGACGACAATCATCGAGGCTAAGAACCTAAAGTCCTTAACTCTTGAAGAGCTAATTGGTTCCCTCCTCACTCATGAAATGATGCTTGAAGATGAGGTGGACCTCGATAAGATTGACAAGACACCAAAGGAGAAAGAGAAGAAGAAAAACATTGGAGTTGCTCTCAAATTCACAAAAGATGAGAGTGATTCGGATAAAGATGATGATGACAAGGAAATGGCATTGTTTGCCAAACGGTTCAGAAAAATGATGACGCCTAACCGAGGAAGAAAATTCAACGAAATGAAGGCTTCAAAAATGAACCAAAAGAGAAGGACCCGATCATTTGCTATGAATGCAAAAAGCCGAGGCATGTTAAATATGATTTCCCGCAATTGAAGAGAAAGGGTCAATCAAAGAACAAGCACAAGGCTCATGTAGCAACATGGAGCGATGAAGAAGGTTCCGATGAAGAAGGTTCCGATGAAGAGGAACAAGATGTAACAAACTTGTGCTTGATGGCATTCGGGGAAGATTCAAAGGTAACCTCTAACTCATTTGATTTAGATGATTTATCTTATGATGAGTTATTAGAGGAATATAATGGGTTGGCTTCGGATTATGAGAAATTGTTTTTAAAATACAAAAATGATATTTCAAAATTGAAAAAAAAAATAACCTCATATCCAAGACCAACAATGATCTTGAAAGTAAAATCAAAGATTTACAAATCAAACTAGAAGAGTTTGAAAAGAAAAATACTGATTTACAAAATTTACTTTCAAGAGTCAATGATGCTCAACAAAAGGAAATTGATGATCTTAAAGCTTCTTTTGATAAATTCGAATCAAAACGTTTTAAAAAAATGAGAAAATTCAAAAATCAACTTTGTTAGAAAAAGTTTTAGAAACTACAATCATAGAGGTCCCTGAAGAACCTCTAATGGAAAAATCGTTATAAGTATATGGGTTCCTAAAGAACTCATTACTACTAAAGATAAGGATATCCTACACAAATGGATACCTAAGGGGACTAGGGTTTTGAAAACTAATGAATATGGACCCAAAAGAATTTGGGTACCAAAAATCAAAAATTAATCTATGTTAGTAGGAAAATGAGCATTGCTACAAGGCACTGGAAACAAACTCAAACTCATGGTACCTTGATAGTGGATGCTCAAGACACATGACCGGAGACAAAAGCCAGTTCATAGAGCTCAACGCCAAAAATGGAGGAGAAGTGACTTTTGGTGATAACTCAAAAGGTCACATTGAAGGTATAGGCACTATAGGTGATAACTCTTCCATACAAATTAAGAATGTTTTATATGTGAATGGATTAAAGCATAATGTTTTGAGTATTAGTCAATTTTTTTATAAGAGATTCAATGTCATGTTTGAAACTAAGGGTTGTAAAGTTATTGACATTGTATCTAATCGGATTATGCTTGTTGGTCATAGAATAGGAAACATTTACATGGTGCATTTAGGTTCTATAGATATGACTAATTTATGCCTAGTTGCTAAGGATGAGCATGATAGTTGGTTATGGCATAGGAGACTAGGACATGCTAGTATGCGTGTTTTGCAACGGCTAATTCAAGAAGATTTAGTAAGAGGGTTGCCTAAACTAAAATTTGATAATGATAAAATCTGTGATGCTTGTGCTAAAGGAAAATAAAAGCGAGTTTCTTTTAAATCCATTAATGACGTATCAACTAGTAGAGTATTACAATTGATCCATATAGATCTTTTTGGGCAAACTAGGACTACTAGCTTGGGTGGAAAACAATATGCATTTATCTTGGTAGATGACTATTCTAGATATACTTGGGTTCTATTTTTAAGTATTAAAGATTAAGCATTAGAACATTTCATCACATTTTTAAAAATAATCCAAAACGAAAAAGGTTACTCTATAACTAGTGTTAGGAGTGATCATTGCACTGAATTTGAAAATATCGAATTTACTGAGTTTTGTGATTCTAATGGTATTAGTCATAATTTTTCAGCACCTAGAACCCCTCAACAAAATGGAGTTGTTGAGAGGAAAAATCGAACTTTAGAATAAATGGCTAGAACCATGCTTTGTGAAAATAATTTGCCAAAATATTTTTGGGCGAAAGCCACAAATACCGCTTGTTATGTTGTAAATCGAGTAATGATTAGGTCAATTTTAAAGAAAACTCCATATGAAATTTTCAAAACTAAAAAGCCTAACATTAGCTATTTTCATCCCTTTGGATGTAAATGTTTTGTTTTAAACAACGATAAAGAAAACCTTGGCAAATTTGATGCTAAAAGTGATAAATGAATTTTTCAGGGTTACTCCTTAAATTCTAAAGCTTATCGAGTATTTAATAAAAGAACTTTAGTTGTAGAAGAGTCTATACATGTTGTTTTCGATGATAATACCCTTCTGAGGAAGG